AATTAATGGCTCATGTAGTTTCAGGTCTGTCTGAGAACTCAAAATTATAGGTTAAAAGTGAAGAAACCTGAGGCCTTGGGAGGTTTTAAGTGGCTGGCCTTAAGTTGCCTCCCATGTGGCAGAGATAGAACCAGAATCCATATCTTCTCTCTTCTAGTCATACAATGTTTTCCTCTATTGCCCTGTCTTTAAGAGAAAAACTTAAGGAAAGCCTGAAAAAAGCTGTCTCATGGTTTCACTCAAACAGGGAGAAAGGGAAGAAAGGAAAGAAGCAGGAAGACTCTATGCAAGTTCTAGAAATGACATTTCCAGAAAAAGAACAGCAAAGAGATTTTTTAGGCTTTTGTTATGATTAGTTATATGATAACCCCAAATCTTACTGCCTTTATCAGAGAGTAAAAACTCTGAAAAAAATTTTTTTTCCTGTCTCCTTGGTCTCAATTTACAATTTTGGCTAAATTTGTTTCAAAAATGGATGCTTAAAGCATGTAAAAAACTAAAAATACTATTCTTTTATCTTGAGTCTGAAGCTCAACATTGTATTATCTTAATTAACCTTTTGTTTCATGTACAATATCTGCTTACATCTCTAACTCAAATTAATAAGTATTTTTAATATAAAATTTAATACATAATATAAAATTCTACATCAAAATAAAAAGTCCTCTAAAGTTATTTTTTAATGTTGTGCAGAGACAAAAATGATTCTAGATGTTGTAAATGTGTCAGAAACGGACTTGTGTGCTTAATACGGTTGCCACTAGCCACGTGTTATTATTTACATTGAAGTTAGTTAAACTAAATAAAATTAAAAATTCCATTTCTCATGTGCATTACATACATTTCAAACGCCCCATATCCACATGTCGCTAGTGTCTACCATATTAGTGCAGGTACGAAGCATGCCCATCACCGCAGAAAGTTTTACTACTGTAGGTGGTTATACCAGCATTGTGACAAAATCACGAGAAAGAATAAAGAAAATTAATTTCTATATTCCTCTCTCTGTTGCTCCCTAAATTTTTAGCTGTTGACTAAAAACTTAGGGTATAGACAAGAGACCAAATGATGAAAAACTGTAAGTATTAATGGAAAAAGTCACCATATTTCTAGGGAAATCCTATTCCTTGATTATACATTATCAAGGGAAGATGAGAACTGACATTTAGCATCCTCTAATTGTCTATGCAATATGTTTTCTGGAATCTTCCCTATTTAAAAATCACTATCAAAGATATCTTTTATATCCTATATATTCCAAGACACATAGAATAATTGTTAGGAAAAAGGAAAAATACTGTAACAGGATACCTGTAAAAAAAATACTGTAACAGGATACCTGCAAATTTTTGAGAACAGAAAATAATAAACATGCTAACATTATATTGCACAGTGAAGAATGTTCAAACCCCCACAGGAGAAGTAGCATGACCTGTGTAAAAAGCAATGATTTTAGCTCCATTAGGAGCTTTATAATTTCTTGGATTTCACTCCTTAAATGCTTACTATTGAAATATGTGTGGAGAGTTACACGGGCCTGCCTATATGACGTGTTCGAGGCACCCCTTAAGGATGCTTATCTCTCATAGAAACTCATTTCACATCTCATCAGTTATAAGTAGGAGCTGGGGAAGCTGGTTTCTCATTTCTCTGAGTTAGGAATACAAACACAGAACTAACAGAATAAAGGATGATGAATTCTCCCTCATGAGCCTAGCTCAAGCAATCCCCAATTCTGGAAATGAAGCCAGCCTTCTGTACTTTTCCACAGGACACTCAGCAAAGTGAACACTGTGACATATTTCAAGGGTATTTTAGGAGTTTAGGGGAAATACGCCAGGTGCGTTTGTGCCAGGTATGCAGGTATTGACTGAGCGCGCGATGCTGTTTTGTCTTTTGTCCAGCACTTGGCAGAGTATAGAGCTCTGCAGACTCCTAGAAAGAGATGCTTTAGACAGTAGTTTCAAAAGGATGCCAACATTTTAAACCTGTTCATGTGACTGAACAAGGAGATCAAGGGCTTCCCCTTCTAGATATCAATTGTAAACAGAAATTTACAGGTAATAGTATTATGTGCAGAGATAAGAAAAAAAACTAAGAAAAAGACCGTCCAGAAGGCAAGAGTCCTTGTGGATGTATGTTTAACTCTGCTGTTTCTGAAACAGGAATTTAAAAAATCAAGCCATAACTTGGATCTGAGCAGAGTCAAGATAAAAATACAGCATTCCCCAAATACTTCAAAGGCTGAACTCGAATGTTTTTCCTCACAGTTATGACTAGGTAGAGATCATGTCACTTCCTAGATTATTTTAACTTTAACCAGATTACTGCATTCTGCATTCATCCTCAGGTTATGACTAAACATTACAAAATTCAGCTTCTGAGACACAAGGACAATGTCCAATCTAGAGTTCATCAGGACATACAAAAATAAAATACAATGAGCACGATAACATTCTCTAGATACAAGTACTTTTTTCCTTTTGAAAACTGTGGGGTGGAGTAAGAAATTCTTGTGACTAAGAGAATATGTTCTATGTAGGTCTAAAGCAATGTGTTTCCCCTGTGTAAGGTAAGCATAGTCATTGTGGCCTATGACTCCCTGCATTCCTCAAGTGGAAAATAACGGTTACGAGGTATTCATTTTCATTTAGCTTAGAAGTTACCTCCTAACTTATCATTATTGTTTTATTGTTTTCAGGATAACAAAAGAGTTTTATAAAGCTGGAGATTTAATTTAGGGAGCACTCTATATTCTTTTGTTTTGAGGGACACCGATAAAAAGCAACTCAATATTTCCTCACAATAATGTCTGCTTCGCATTTTAGTTCATATTTTAGAATATATTTCTGTATAATGTTTCGCATCTTTTAAAAAGCATTTCATATACACTATACTATCTGATTCCCAGAACTGCTCTATAAGAGATTATCTGATATGCTTTCTCAGTCCCATTTCGCATATGTGAAAACTGAGTCTCTAAATTTTAGTGTCTCACATATGATCCCACAGTCAGGAAGTAATAGAGCTGTTGTCAATGTGAAGAGCAGCTCTAACTCCCCTTAAGCCTACTTTTTAATCCTCAATAAAGTGCTGTATATTTTAAAAGAGAGATCACAGTGTTACTAGTGATAAGAACATAAACTCTGGAACCAGTTGATTGGAGTTTAGGTCCTGGCTCTGAGATTCTTTAATCATGTCACACTGGTCAACTTACTGATCCTCTGAGGCCTCAGTTTACTCATCTATGAAAAGGGAATAAAAATAGCACCCCCCCAACCCCAACCCAACAGCACTATTGATAAACTGCTGAGTGAGTTAATGATTACTTATAATAATGTCTGGCACACAGTGAATGCTCATTAGTGTTTGTTATTATTAAAAGGTTACTGCTCTCTCCTTAAATTTTTGTTCTTCTTATTTCTTTATATTTACTTTTAATTTTTGTATGCAAAATACAGAGCTGATTACCCAGGTAGCACTCAATAATATTTAGGAAAAATTAGTATTTCTAGAAAAAAAATATTTTCATATTTACAGAATGAAAATATATTTTCTAACATTTCATTTACCTTTACACTACTTGATTTTTTAATGACTTGACTGAATTAAAGTTTGGCTGTTAACATTTTCTTAAAGCAGCTTAGCTTTTGCAGCCATATTCTGTAAATGAATATCATCATATTTCTACAAGGAGGCTGAGTAAACTCTGAAATTACTGCATGATATATTTTATTATACAGTCTAACAAGACTGCTGTCAACCCACATGGTGTATTATGAGGATTAAAAAATGGAGTCCCCTCTTCATCATGATGGACTTAGATACTCCCCAGGGCATTTAGCTTGGCAGATTTAGCACAAGTATGATTTCAGCTCCCAATTATCCCTCTGGCTGGGTGCCCTTGTGCAGTGAACAGCCTGAACAACTGTATGCAATGGTCCTGTCTCCTACCACCCTTTGGATTACATGACTTTTTCAGCTGCAAACTGCTAAATGCTGCACTACAACAAAAACATTTGAGAATGGCATACCTCATGATACTTTTTCACGGTTTTCCCTGAATTGCACGTGCAGGACTTCCAGTTGACAGTTCCACAGCCACAATTTCCTCCACAGCGCTGCACGAGGAGGCAACGCGGAAAGAAGACCACATTGGTCAGCTTCAGCTCCTCTCTTAAATTGACTGAGTAATTCCTGGGAGTGCAACTGTAACGCTTGACATCATCATTGAGCCTGTCCAGGTCAACTGTAAAAAACACACACTGTGTAAGCAAGTGCACAATTGTAAGCAAACACTCGGCATGTGTTTTGATGAACAGAATGGGAAGATTCTGTGAGGGCAATCTTAACCCAGGGATTGAATACGTCCTTGGGATCTCAATTACTACCCCAAACACCAAAGGTGGAAAATCTAATTTCTCTTTTGATCCTATCTGCCCTTCAAAAAAAAAAAAAAAATCAACAAGAACAGCAATAAAGGACAATCAAAAAGCCCTCAAAAACTTGGCTAAATCTATATCTTGGCTCAAAGTTTCCTTGTTCCTTTATTTAATGCAAAAAAAAAAAAAATGTTCTGAGGAAAGAAAATGAAATGTTCAGCAATTTAAAATAATTGCCTTTATCTTTTAAAAAAATTGCTTTTTGAGTCCAAATAAATCCCGACTCTAAGCCATTACTTAAATATAATTTGAATTATATCAGGGACACATTAGGGACAATCACTCTAATATATTTAACTGGCAATGGAATTTTACAAGTAAATGTGAGAAAGAAAAAGGTTTCAGCTTTATTTTAACTCCAAGGTCAATCAAAAAGTCAAAAGAAATGGCATTTTGGGGGTTGTGAATATGATGCATATTTGTGCATTGGATCCTAGATGGCAGTATAGCTTAGTGGTTAAGTGTCGGGCTCTGCAGTAAAGCTATAGATGGCCTTCACATCATGGCTATGCCTCCTTTTAGTTAGAAAGTTACTCAACTGCTCCGAACCTCTGCTTCCTCATCTGTAAAATGTAAATAGTATAACTTTACCTATTTCACAGCAATATTTGAAAGATTGAATCTAGTGTGCATGGCACTCAATTAATGCTGGTTATTATTGTTCATCTTGATTAATTTTTATTTTTCCTGCATCTTTTTTTTTTTTTTTAAGTTAAATGGTCACGAATTAAAGGAAGAACAAATTTCAGGCCTTTCTCTTCTATTTCACTTTTGGCCATTATTTATGTCCAGGTGGTATGGTTCCTGGAACTTTTACGAATGAAGAGCATCACCTTAAATTTTCAAATTTTAGTCATAAATATTTACTGGAATTAAATTGTATTACTATATTACATACATTACATTTTAATTAGTGGTCTCAAAATCCATCTAATCATCCATCCACTTGGCATTCAAATCTTCTGACTGATGAGCACATACATGACTATCTTTTCAGAAGAATGCAATTTAGAAGAAAGTTCCTTGTCTGCATGGGTTCCGCACAATTTTCTAGTGCACCTCCCTTGTCACCAGACAGGCCACCACAGGAGAAATCTCACAAACGTTAGGCAGATATCATAAGGCTGACTCTGGACTCCAGCCCTAATAAATGTCTTAGTCTTAAACCAAAACCGCTTGAGGAGCAATAAAGTGTGCTCTATTGGAGTAGAGGTCAAAGTCTAAGGATGCTGTCAGTAGACAGCATTTGAGGGAAACCAAAAGAGAAGAAGGCACGAATTAGTGAAGAGTCCACTTAACCCCATGAAGTCAGCTGAAAGCCTGGCCAGTTGGGTGGACGACCCCTGAATAAAGAATTAAATGGCAATTGGATCAATGCCATGCTCTGAGTGCCTTTTCACATGTGCAACTATGCCTTGATTCTCAAGGGCAGGGCTTTTTCCCCAATTGTTACATGCTGAGCCCAGGACACTGTGGGGGCTGAATAAATGCTAAATAATTATTGTGCACATTTTATTGCTGTTTTTTTCTTCCTTTGTAAAGATATATCATAAGTTTAGCTATAATCAATCCAGATTTAAATTGAATGAACTCTGTCTTGGGAAAAGAAGCATTTTATCCCTGCTGAAGCACTGCAAATAACTGCAAGCAAAGCAGGAAGGATTACATAAATGGATTAAGAAGTGCAGCAATCATCCATTACAAGTGTCACCTTGAGATAAATACTGATGCTGGCCTGTGCATTACTGGGCTCACGGACAGGGCTGATGCAGAGGGCCAAGTCTGCTGCTTGTGATAATGGGAATATATTTTGTCTAACATCGTGGAGTAACGAGGTGCAATTAGCAAGAAGTTGTGCTGTGCAGGAAGTCAGAGAGGGATAGGTAGGAAGTAATAGCACCAAGTCTCTCTTTAGTTCAGCCTTCTGCTAGGCACCTTATACATATGACTATGTTTCATTGTTTCCCACCCTTTCCAGGTGAGTATTACTTACTCGAAGTGAAGAGTAAGTGGGAAAACTGGAATTGAAGTCCTTTTCCCATTGGCTCTATAGTCTTTACCACATCAAGCAAAGTGGGGGGGATGGCAGGTACCCAAAAGCTGAAGGAAGAACTCTGAACCCCCTGGTGCTGTATCAAGCTTTTCTGTAGGCTGTTGTACTAGGACTGGCATGGTGAATGGTTATATCCTTTTCTCCGGAATATATCCAAGCCAAATTGCAGTATGCCTTCTCCACAAGGATATAGCTAAATCTCAAAATGCCCTCAACAAACAAGAATATATACCTTACTCGCCTTGAAACCCAACTCTGCACGTTTAACAGTTTACTGACTAGCACTGGTTACTTCCATTTCCTACCTACCCGCCATGAAGAGATTTACAATGCTGTCAGTTTTATGCATCAATTCACTAATGTGACTGAGAACTGTGGCCCAGTGTGACTGCTGTAGAATCCAGCTGCCCTGCTTATCAGGGGATTGAAACCACCGAGGCACTCAATTTAGAGCTAGAACTAAAAGGTCTTTCTGACTGGACGCAAATAACTTCAAAGCGTGATTGCAGACTTTCTGCAGGGGATATTGAGTTTCCAGTCAAAGAAGAATAATTAGCAGTGCAGCGGAGCAAGGAGCCAGACAAGGGGCTGAGCTGCAATTAAGGTTTCTGGTACTTGGTACTTCGGTAGGAAAGGGAACTCTGGTATGAGCCTGCTGGGAGGGAGGGAGGCCAAGAGGTATAAATCTATGGAGAAGAGCTGCCCTTTCCTTCCCTGCTTCAGTCTCCATGGCGGAACATTATAGGGTAGCCAGGATGTTCCAAATTTAATTCAAAGGCACATTAATTTCATGTAATTTCCCTAGTTCACCCAGGTGTATATAATGTTATGTAATTCCTCTTTTGCTATCCTTTTGGATTTGAGCCTTCTTGCATTTTCATGGCTCTCTGACGTCAGTTAAGTTCTTGGGGGGTGTGCACTGACAATCTGTTGGAAAGTCTTGAAGGCTGCAGTGTCCTCAAAGCCTTCCTCTGGACACATACATCCAACGTGGGGCCCTGCACAGTGCAGCAGGAGCACCCTTCTTTCTGCAGCCCTGGCCTCAAAGCATAGCCTAGCCACTGAAGTTCCTTGGGCTATGATAGAAGTTCTGAGCTCTAAGCACTGGGATGGGGGGTGTATAAAGCAAGGGTATAGTGGAAAAGGCTCACTCTTGTTCAGTTTCTAATCTGTTAAGGCTTAGATGTGGGAGGAAGGAGAGTCAGAGTGGCCTTTTTGATCCTGGCCATCTGTATTTCTAAGTACAAGGTAACGTGAGATGTACTGCACATACATGATTGCATGTAAGCTCCACAAATGCTAAATAATAAATACCATTATTACCGTTCTTTTCACGGTTGAGAAAATTCAGCCTTTGAGAGGTTAAGAACAAAACTCTCCACAGCTACACACCCAGTCAGTGGTAGAGCCAGAGTTTGAATCCAGGCATTTTCATGCTTCATGCACTTATGAAACCCAGTCTGAAGATTTGAAGAAGAGTGCAAATAGCAGTTTCCGCGAGCCATGATGAAACCTTCCCACTAAAGGGACACTTGCTGTCCAAATGACTTGGCTTCTTAGGTTAGTTGATTGGCACTGATCTGCCATTTTCAAGATTTGTCATTTACGTATACCCAAGCATGTGCTCCTGTGCACGCATATTCATCTATTGGATTCTACTGGAAAAGGCCATGTTCTGGCTAACAAAACAGGCAACTATGAGAGAGCCTACCTTTTTCTTTGGTAGTGAGCAATATAATGAGTTTCATCTTTTTCACCTGAACTGAGGGGACTTTTATTTATTTATGATTTTCACTTTGTCCTGATTTCAAGAAGAAATCAGGACAAAATGCTCTCACTTACCTATAGTCTTTGTCATGAAAACCAGTTGGAGGTCCATGTAACAAGCTGGACTGATTGATAGCAATAATTTGTCTTTAGGGAAGATAAATGCTAGAATCTGAGAGATTCTTTCTATAGGACACATAAAGCCAACATGCATTTTCAGTCCTTGGTTGAGAATCTTCGTACTCAGAGGGCTCACTTAGGTTATATACAGATTTTCAACTGTGAGGATGGTCAGTGCTCCTGAACCCTGCATTGTTCAAGGGTCAACTGCATTATACTTCACATGCTTGACAAGTGTGGCATAGGTAGTGATCAGCTTATGACAAAATTTTAAAAGCCTTTTATAAATCGATCATTTCAATTTTTTTGAGAATACAAAAATCTATTGTGGAACAATATAACATCCTCACTTTGAATATAGGGAAGTACTTTTTTTCTCCACATACACCTTTAATTCACTGCTTTGTTTTGTTCAACAGGGTGGTTTCTTTGGGTCAGTCAGTCTCTGGATGTCAAGTTTATTGGTCAGCTTTCACTGTGCTGGTCTTTCATTGATGTTCATTGTACTATGTGTGTTGCCAGCCTTTTTTTTCTTGACCTTTCTGAGTCTGCTGGGATCTATAATTAAACTTCCGCATGTTCTTAGAGATAGCCAGTAATCATTTTGTAGCAACCAAATCCAGCCTTATGGTGCTAAAATTCTTTATAAACAACTCTTTTAGCAGGTACATACCAGCAGCCTATATATTAGTACACGTTTAGCACATGACATGATGATGGCATGAGAAAAGCAAGTGCTTGAAGCAAAATCATGCTTTTCTTATCAGCATTCATCATTGTTTTATTTTCTCTAGCATCTCAGTTTGATACCTCATGTTAATTTTCTACGGTCCAAGTCAAAAAGCATGTCCACCCTACATCTCCTCT